TATGGATTTATACGTTTAATATGCGAACATCTACGCTATTTCACATAAGTCTATGGTGAGCCCACCACAACGCTTTTCACTTTATTATGCAATTGATTTTCGCAATAATTTCCATCCCACGGGACTTGTTAAGCGATGCTTTTTTACCCGTAATAAACCATTGTCCATTGAATAGCTCCGTTACTACGGACCTAAACAACTGTTCTCGAGTTAACTCCGGACGGCGCTTGACATCCCTGATTGTTCCTACTAAATACCTATGTTTGACGCCAACAACATAATTACGTCTGTACACGCTAACTGGCCATTGGCCAATTCGAACGTATGCAGGTGCAGGATGAGTTCTCAGTAGCCTTAGACAGCGCGTGACCGGTGGTAGTCACGCAGCAGCGATCAGGAGTGATTCCGATGTCGTATTGTCTTTCTTCCTACCGCAGTCGACCAGTCGCCACGGTGACCATATGAATGATCCAAATCAATGGATGCAAAACAAGTTCATCAAACGGTCTGGGTTGAGTAGCATGAGCTCTGGATTCAAGAACGTTAAACAGACAGACAATCTGTCCGCGGTCCGTCACACTCTATAATTAGCCATGGGACGAGCCAGTTGATAAGTGACTACTCCCAAATTTCGAGTACTTGACACATTGCCACACTAGTTCGATTAGAAGAGTGGATACTTGACAAAAGGATGGTATTCATTTTGCGATAACATATCACAAGTTGCAAAATGGAAACAAAGAAGCGATGCATCCAGGGTAGAGTGTCCTCTATGTCCCTAAATGACTTCTAGTGGTAGATGCTGATGATGCGCGGTGCTCTACACTCTCTACGCATTAATAAAATGCAACTAAATAACCGAAACTGACTAGAAAAAGGCACTGTACAGTGATTTCACTGAACTGCATTATACCCCAAAACAGCAACAGGAATTGATTTACTATACAAGGCAGAACAGATGCAGCGATGAAGTTTCAGCTTAGAGAACAGGATAGAGCGTGATGTTATTGCAACATTTCCGATTGTGTACGAGTTTATGTAAGAAGTGACTCCGATTTCGTTTCATAGTCCCATTGATCCGGATGCAGCAGATTGTGCTAACCGTAATTAGAGGGAATGTGGATCGCGAGTTGCTTTTGGATCGGAATCCATTCTTGTTAAGCATCCATCAAACCTACAATCACGGGATGATCTCTTATTGGGCATGAGCGACAAAGCACGAGTTGTTCGCGGTGCCAACGAGGGGCAGTGATAGGCAGCTGGCAATCAACGATCGTTCAGATACAGCGGATACGTCCTCGGTGATTACTGAGTTCTAAATGACCTATCATACTTCACATACTGCATTAAGGAAGCAATTTAAATCCGTGTAAACTTTCACGTTTCAGTACTTACTGTGGTTCATAGAAGTCACGTCCAAAATGTCCGAGCTTGACTTACCGATTGCCAACTACAATGGTCGAGTTCAATGTCAGCAAAAGGACAACCAGAGATAAAAGTTGACTTTTTACCCGTGGGCTACCCCACGGGCATTGGCTCCATCCCATTTCAGGTACGGTGTGCTACGGTCGACAGATGTCAAGCGTTTCTTCAGCGTAATTAGCCTGGTTAGAACAAGCGTAGAATGTGACAGAGGTGCTGAGCGACCCTTTTATACTGGGACTATAAGGCCCGTATAGAGAAAGCATGAAAGAATGTCACTTTCCAATAGAACCTTCATGGACGATTGCCGTGCAAAAAGTGTCACGTTCAGCCGTTTGTGTAACATGGCGGTGCCCACATTTGTTCGTGCCGAACTTACCCAATCGACGGCATTTAGAATGGCGTGCAGTTTGCTATTGAGGTGGATACGGCAAGCTCTGTGTCGATATATTTTGGTTAGCATAAATTGTTCTTGTTCAGCATTTTCCATATTTCGAGTTTTCCATTAGAAGCTGACTTTACTATCCATGAACCACTTGGAAAATTTCAGTCGTATCCGATGCTGAATACTGAAAGATGACACCAGTTCGGCCATTTTCATGCCATTCAGTGATACCTTTCCAAGGAACAAGGCAAGAGGAGTCTAAACAGAATGTTATTTCTCTCTGAATGGTGGCTTAGTTGTTGTTTGGGCTAAGGCATCATGGTAACAATCATGTTGATTATAAACCGCTCCTCTACCCGCCATAACCAGTGAGGCACAAAGGCCACTGGAAAGGAGAGTGACTAGTTGCCTGGGGAAATTGTCGGTGGACATGAAGGCTTCGTACGCAATGAAGACGACCGGTTCTCCGATCTCATTGGGTAGGACGCGGCGCAATTTGTCTTGGGTCGATCAATTCTAGCTATTACATTAAAAAGTTTAAATCAAAGTGTTACCATTTCGTTAACCATTTGATGTGCGCAAGAAACTCGTAAAATTGCACAATGAGTACATGCGCTCATGAACAGGGAATTAAAAATAATAGGTTGGTTAAGTAGGTGATGAGTTTCGGTAGTTACGTCGAGATACCTCTTGCCGGTATGTTAGATGAGCCATGCAACTAGAATATCGGCAACCGGAGAGTACGCATTTTATTAAACCCAGCATTCAGCAACACCTCATGAGCTAATCAAGTACTGCTGAAGCAACAAAAGACGAAACAGATCAAAGGCAACAACTAAGGCTACCGGAGATCGTGAGCGTCCATCTGCAGTGGGAAGCGAGTTTGTTTACTAGAACGTAGGTGGCATGCGTGACACAGCAGGTCTCTAGTTAGACTGCGTGCGACATGATTAGCTTCCATGTTGTACGTAACAAATTTGAGAATGATGGAAACCTAGTTTTTCACTCCATTATCTACGGTTGCATCCCATTAATTAGTGGCTGAAAGCTGTGTATCACAGTGTTTGGCCGGAAAGATGGACCCTGTCTGCATGTAACAATCACCGCCGCTGACTGTCAGCTTTGTCGCCCCGCGACCAATTCATGATTGCTTTGCGTCTGTTTGAGTGGATATGTACGCGCGTGACGCCTACCACCTTATTGGATTGACTGACCTATAGATTGGCTTCACTGGCCTTCCATTCAAGTGTGATCCAATCAATCGCAGCTTTAGGCATTCGTGTTTCTTCTCAATCTCTCTTATAAAGGCAAATGCCCATGAGAATGGTCTAAAAGAAATCTCTTCGTAAGCCTTCCTTTAAAGTTCAGTTCACTTCAGTTGATCTTCTATGATCGGAGCAACCAAGTTCAGCGCATTCAGTTGCCACGACTCACACCTTAAGAAAAATAATAAAAAACACCGGTAGGATGGTGGGGTTGAATGCAAAAAGAATGTAGAGAAAACCAAAACAAGAAGGAATGCGTTAGACTAATCGGAATGACACGAAAATTAACAACCCGATGAAAGAAGCCGAATGCAGGAACGCCAGTGACTGCGTGACCGCGCCAAGTTTGACCCGGGCTCCAACTATTGGTGTGGACCGTCCTGACCAAGTATCACGGTTAATTTCTTCAAGCTTCTAGATCATATCATGGACTGGCCACCGTGAGATTTCGCCAAACTTGGTGCAGCGACGGAGTAGAATTCACGCCGATGAAGCCGATCAACAGGCATACGGAGGGTATAGCCTAGCCAACGCAAGCGACTAAGAGAGAGAGAGAGCACCAGAAGGCTTCTGGCCAAAAACCAACCGGCGGACCTCAGCATTGCTCACTCGGCGTTCCCACCAAACATGGGTAACACTTCGTAAGCACCGGTAGTAAAACTCAGACAAGGGTTTAATGTTCTCATTGCGAACTGGCCCTCTCTCCGATCCATACAGTAACACTAGCCTTATCGCAGCGGTATACACCTTACCTTTCAATGGCAGGCTGATATCTTGCCGTCTCCATAGATGTTCGAGTCTTAGGAAAGTCACGTGGACCTTGCTGTTACGCGAAGTAACCTCTTCAGTGATGTGACCACCAGAAGTGACACAGCTATCAAGGTAAGTGAACCGAACCACCACTTCAGTGGCTGTTTGGAAAAAGCTAAAACCAGAGGTGTGTCGGCCCAGTCCTGCAACAGCACTTTGCAATTTGTAGATTCAAGGTACATACCGAAGCTTGCAGCTCAACGCACAAGTCTGTGCAGTAATCTTTGCACGGCCAAAGCATCAGACCCAAGAAAAACTATGTTGTCCGCATACTCCAGGTTTGTCATTTGGTCGCCTGGCAACACGTCCACTCCGGTAGTCAGAAAGAACCGAGTCATACAAGATCATTTCGATCACAAAGTTAAAGAGGAAAGGAGATAAAGGAAAACCCTGGTGAACCCCATTTGTCGTAGGGAATTCAGGGGAAGGACTTCAGAATGGAAAGGAGTTTAGCTGCCACGCCCTTCATGGATAGGCAGCGCTCCAAGCTGGCACGGTCAATAAAGTCAAGAGCGGCTTTCAAGTCCAGGAAAACCACTGTAGCCGATCGTCTGTATGTGTCTCTACCCTAAAACTTGACGAAGAGTAAATATGTGTTTGATGTAACCATGAAGAGGCAGAAGCAATCCTGGCTTTCAATGATTCGGTCCTCACGGGGATCAGTAAGTCGTCGAAGAATGTTCCTCGTGAGAAGTTTTGAGGGAATGGAAACAAGGCCAAGGCCTTGATGCTTTTCGCACAAAGTACGCTGATCCACCAACATTCCCGGTCAACTCTTTAAAGTGGAATTTCTTGAATTCCGACACCGATTTCGTTTTGACTGCTGTCGCTGGCAAACTCCGACATTCCATCACTCGACGTCTGAAGCATAGATAATAATCCAGCCGCTTCAGATCAGGCACTGAAAAATTGTACCAGTACCCCTGTGTACTGCTTGGTGTGCGCAAGTGGAGCACGGAGCTTAGCATATAAAAGTCACCTAGATGCAATATCCGGTGGGTCATCATTAGGTCACCCAGAAGCCGACGATACGACAAAGGCAGCAATTAAGAAATCGCCATGTGGATGTTAATAGCTTTCGATGGACAGTGTCAGTTGTTATCCTAATTTCATAAGGTGGTAAAAGCCTTTAGCGTTGTCAATTTGCTTAGTATGGACCAAAAACAGCCTTCGAGCCGGAGTTCAGACTTTGTTGAACGATACAATAAAGCATACCTATCGTCCGTAAGGACCACGGTATCCATACTTTGGATCATTCGAATTGGGGAACAAAGTTGCTGCCAAACTCCAACTTTGACACTAGCTGGATTCTCGTTGGTATGCGCACAAGTCGGAAATAAGTAAAATCGCATTGCATTCAGTCATCAGTTAGTTGCATGGGTGGTTATTCGAAATCGAGTGTTACACGATCGGTCGTTCATTGGGACCTTGTCCGGGAGGAACAGCATCCTTTCTTCTACTGATAGCGCCTCCAGTTCTGTACATGTCGCCAACTATGTATTCGGCAGCACCGGAGGAGCGAAGCGCGTAATACCTGTCAAGTGGAGCAGGTGTAGTAAGCATAGATACAGTAGGACGACTGTGTTCTCTTTGTACCTTTCGGAGACAACCCACGTTGACTCCTTGTGGTGGTTAGCAAAGCCGATACGAGTGACATCTGTTGACCGATGTAACACTGTGCGCACATTCGGATGGTCAAGGTGGAATGGCACACTGGGTCTGAGGGACAACTCACCATATTAGCCAGTGTGGTGATGAAGACAATATACATTAAACAAAATAGGGATTACTTTTGGATTTTGTAGAAAGTTCGTAGAAAGTAGAAGCATCGATGAAACTTCGCACAGTAATCTGCCTCGATGGGGATTCGTACCCCGGACCCATGGATTGCCGTGAAGTGGAATGGAAACAGAAGAAATAGCGCAAATACTGGCGACCGCCTTGTGAGCAGTTTCTACCGTGTGTCCGTACAGTCTCCGTAGAGTAAACAGCGTACTCGTACTAAATCGATGCTCCTCTGTGCTTGGACTTATCGCTTGCATTTCGCAACGTGTAATGCTGTGCTTACATTTATAAAAATCAGAATTAAGAGCGCTATCCATGGGATCCATCAAACTTCAGGTTGGTCCAGCACACACCACCAATGCATCTGTTATTGCAATTTTAACGGGATTTTCACAGAAATTCCGATGCGCATCTACTGTATTTTCGAGCGCATGCCATCCTATTTAAATCCATTAAGCACAGTACACTTAGTGTTATCGAGCGATTCCCTTACCGCAATAGTCAGACACTAAGTTTGAAAGCTTCAGCTCGTTTAGCAACCATCATCCTGAAGCTCGCCAAAATAAGGTAAATCCGACCAAGCTCATCAACCCTCAAATTTCCGACAAGACGTAGTGCGGAATGATCAATCGCTACGCCCCTATTGCCCATTCCAGAACGATCGTACGTTGATATCCATCAGATTTGTTCGCCATTACAGTAAAACGTAGTACTGCTTAGCTTTTGAGATATTGGCAGCTCGGGACGCTTGTTCAGCTTCTGTAGAGCTCTCCGAGCTGAGCAACTTGATTGCAAACGTTTCGCCACCATTCGTGGTGGCATCTTCAGTGTGGGATTGATAGCAGTTAAGTAGCAGCAGCTGGTAGAAAGCAAACCCAGTAATGGAGACTGTCAGCAACCACTCCGTTCCTTATCTAGACATACGCGGCTACTAATGT